CTCGGGGTGGCCGCGGGGTTAAATTGTCTGCTGGGGCGCGTTGGTTCGGTCGGAGTTCCGAGGCTGAGCCTTGGCCCCTCCTCGAGGCTTGCGGGGACCGGGAAAGGGAAGTGTTGTCATCCACATGGCTCCCCCGTCTTTCCCCGTTGCGGGGGGGGGGGGGTCCAGTTGCGTGGGAGCTGGGTTAAAATAACCACAGTGTTTGGTAAAGTGGCATCGTTTCAACAGGTTAGCGGATTGTTGAGTGTTTTTAGACGCCTCCCCTGCTTTTTAAACCACCCCATTTTGTCTAGAAAGGAACATCCGAGCCGTATTGGATCTGTTATAACTGGGAGAATCATAGTATATCAAGGTTGGAGGAGGCCTCTAAGATCATCAAGTCCAACCATTAACCTGCCACTCTGCTGTAAACCCTAAACCATATCTTCCAGTACGAGGTCCAGATGCTTCTGAAACACTTTCAGGGATGGTGACTCCACCATCTCCCTAGGCAGTGTCCAGTGCCTGGGCACCCTGCCTGCTTCACCCCCTTCCTTCCTCTGTCTCCAGTGCCTGGGCACCCTCCCTGCTTCACCCCCTTCCTTCCTCTGTCAAATGTCAGTGAATGTCCCCAGCGAAAGAAAAGTGGCTTTAAAAGTGGAATCGATGCCTTGGAGTGATTCCTTGCACTGTTATTCTTTGTGTTTGTGCCTGCTGAGGGAGGGGTCTGGCCCTGCTTGTTTAGGGAGCAGCAGGGTGATTGTTTCTAACAGGCAAAATTGATCGTGGATTAGTGCTGTAAATGAAAATCTGTTTGGCTTCTAGGTGCTTTTGTTTTCCCCTTCATTTTAATAATGTGATGAAGGGCAGTGTTTGCTACAGAATCATAGTTTCTCTGACCTTTTTTGGGGTTTTTTTTATGGCATCACTTGGTTTAAATTTTTTTTTTTTATGGCATCACTTGGTTTAAAAGCTGCTCAGTGAACAGCAGTGTAACAAAAAGCAATGCCTGGCACAACTGGGGCTGCAGTTGTCTGAGCTGACTGCTGTCCCTTAAAATGGATTAATACCTGAACTGCAAACTATTGGAAAATGAAACTTCTTTGTCTTGGTGTCTCAGTGAAATCAGCCTTCATGTGTTAAAGGCTGAACTCATCTTATGGCCTAGTCTGGGAACCCTGAGCAATCAAACATATACTGATTCGTGTCCTTTCTTCCTGCAGCTTGATATTTTACACCTGATTTACATGAGAATCCTGCAGAAAGTGTATGGAATCCGCCTGGAGCACTTCTACACGGTATGGCTGTGGTGGCAGGTGCAATGGAATGTGAAAGGGAAAAAGATATTGCACTTAAATGTTGAAGTTTCTCACTCTTCATGCTAACAAATGGCAGCCTGCCTGCTGGTTTGTGTGTTGTAATGAGAGCTTAGAAATTCTGCCTCTATTGCAGAAAACCTGTGTGTGAGATACGATGGGTTTGTCCTCAGGGAGGACTCACTTGTTCCTTAGGCAGGAATGGGAGTGCAGCACATGGATTGTTAACCAGAGGTAAACAAACCTGGGAGCATCATCTGTGGGCAGCTGCTGAGGCCTTGAGAAGTCGTTTTGGTCATTGCTCCTCATCTGGAAATTAATTTCTGCTTAAGATAACTGTAGAAATAGTGAGTTTTGTGGGTGTGCTGCCTCTAGGTTTGTTTTATTCTTTTTCCATGGAAAGTAGACTACCTGCTTCACTACAGGAGCATGAAGAGCAGCTCACCACTATAGGCTGTGAGGAAGGCTCTGGAGTGCCTTCTCCTTCTGCATTTAAGCTGTGAATTCTGTTATTTGAGATGCTGTGGGTGCCAGAAATGTCTGTAAGGTTCAGGAGAAATTGGACAAGATTATGGGGACATGTTCAGCCTTGAAGAATCTGTACTGTATTCTTGGGTATCTGCCTTTGGCCATGGCTGGAGGAGGTTCTCTGCTGAGATGTTGGACTGATCTAGAAGGAGAGTAAATGTTGCTTTTGGTATCTCCACCTCTTCATTAACTGAGAGGAAAGTAAGGAGAGGCTGATACCTTGTGACTAATGCTTAATTTATCTTCTGTCTCTGTTAGGCAAGAAGTGATCCCTGAAAGGGAGAATAAATAATATTGTCTTATGGCATTTTTTGATAAACTGAAAGGGAAGGGCATATGTTCTTCACAGGCCATGGCATTAGCTGGGAGACTGTTAGGACATTTAAAATACCAGAGAAAGGTGACAGTGTACCACTGCTTTCTCCTTCTGTCTTCTTCATAAAACAGTTGTGTCAATTTTGAGGTGTTTAAAGAACACCAGTCTTGCTGGTAGGTGTGTAATGCAGAGGTTGTTGTCCTGCATCACTTTTGAACAAGTTAAAACAGTTTAGATTACAAACTCTGGAATTCAATGTTGCTGCTTTAGCTATTATTGTTGTGTTACATTTCGCCCATCCAAAATTGACTCTTGAAATAGTCTGCTGGTTAACTTGATGACATTTTTCAGCCTCTGATATCTTCTCCGTGGATGAAGAGAACATCCTCAGTGTGTTTAATCTGTTGGAATTTTCTTACTCCATGGAAACCTGTGTAGTTTATAAGTATTTTCTGCTTACACCTTGACTCTCTTTACTCTTTAGATGCCAGTGAATGTTGAAATAATGTATCCACAGATATATGAAGGCTTTCTACCTGTCTGTAACTTGTATATTCACATGTAAGTAGAAGATGCTGCATTTGTTCAGTTGCTGTTTCTTGTAAAAGCACCAGTTTACTGGAAACTTTGGGGCATTGTGCTGATGGTGGTTCCATTGCTTGTTGGCTCTGTGCAAAGTGAAATTGGCAGATGAATAGGGGACAGCAATATTTGATAGAGGAATTCTCAGCAGGCAGCTATCTTGTCGAAATGAATGTGTTAAGTAATCCAGGCTCAATGGAGCACAAATCTGTACTTGGAAATGCTGGAGGGTCATCATTGCACCTAGAAGAGGAATCTTACGTTCCTCTTGTCTAAATTTGCTGTCTGAATTCTGTGTAGATGTCTTTGTTGGAATGGGGTGAGTGTTAGACTTAAATCTTTTCAGTTGTAAGGGGAGAATTGACTGAAAGTTAAGTGTAGGAGTTCTCTAATTAAGCTGAAAAGTTGTTCTACGGGTGTTTTGTCAATAGAACTATCCAAGCTGCTGTAAGAACACAAACTATTAATGTTGATCTGTGTGTGGGTATTGCTGTGTTACTCTTCCTGGGACTTACTTGTCTTGTGCTTGCTGTGCAAATGCTCTGGGGTGAGAGGATGAGATGTGTTTTGTAGCAAAAAAACTGAGTCATGGTCAGTGTTCTGCTCTCCTTGCAGGGAGCGCTTGCTTCCCGTGTGCCGGATTAATGACTTTCAGATTGCTGATGTCTTAAACCCAAGTAAGCAAGTGCATTCTAATTCTTGTGTTTCCTGGGCTGGTGGGTGTTGCTTGATATCCAGGTGCTACTTCTCCTTTGGCATAGCCAGATGAACATTTAGTATGGAGAACTGTCCCTGCTTCCAGCTGCTCTTCTGAGCCTTGCTGTTGCTCTTAGACAAGCTGGTTCTAGTGAGCAGTTCTTATTCCTTACATAGGCTGATCCAGGTGAATAGCAGAGATTGGTTTTGAATGCTGTGAGTCTGTTGAACTGCTGCTCTGGAGAGTGGACTGTGACATACTTAAAACAGTGTAAGAATAGATGGTGATGAAAATGGAGTGCTAAAGGATTTCTTTTGCTGATGCCTGTGTAGGAAGTGATTAACTTTTGCTTCAGCCTTTTTAATACCCAGCTGTGGTGATTCTGGTACAACACAACTTAGAAAAGGCTATTCTGAAGAACTCTTTCACTTCTGGATCTGTCTTAAGATGTTCAAGGCCTTTGTAATCATATTTCAGAAATTTTGCTTGGAATAAAGCCAAAAGGTCCCTGCAGTTCAAATTGCTGCCTTCCCTTAGCCTGATGGTTACAGGGAGGTTCTCTTTTCAGAGCTGTAGTTCAAGATTGACACTCCTTCTCCCTGGCTTCTGTTTTACTGGGAGGCTGTGTGTTAACAGCCTTTCCCCCAGGTGCCATTATTTGTTTGTTAAATTGCACTGAATTGCTGAGAGTTTGTAACTAGCTCAGTGCTAGTTTTTGTGTAGTCTGAAATCTCTGCAAGGTGAGCAGGGGAAGAACTAATTTGGAGTCTGTTTTTTAATTCCTGTCTTTTCTCTGAAATATGTTTTGCCCAACTTTTCCTAAGCAATGTGGGAATCAGCACAGTGATGGTTTGCAATTCTGATTTCAGAAACCAAGAGGACCATTCGCTTCTTGAGTGGCATTCTCAACTTTGTGAACTTCAGGGAATTCCGGCGTGAGGTCTACTTGGAGCTACAGCTGCACTATGTAAGATCAAGTGCCATGTTACTCCAGGGACCTATTTAAGTATCGTTAACCTAGAACAGGGACCATAAAGATAGTATTTTAACTGTATGGGTTGGAATCTTAAATGTAGTCAAGTATTACAGGAAGGTAACAGTTATTACTCAAGTTATTATTGAAAGGGTTTTTTTCCCAATAACTTACTTGCTGGTTTAACCTGGTAAGCAAAGGACTGATATCTCACATTGTTTTGAGAAGAGATGGGTGCAACAGTCAGTGGGCTGAAGCTCGAATTGTAGGTGGCTCCTCTTCTGACCATCTCAGTAGTTCAGAGATGGTGCATTTTATGTGCAATAATGATGGGCAAGGCTCTATGAGAAGCCCCAAGAGAAACCATATTCCTCTAAAATAAAATATATCTGGACATTTAATTTACAGAAATCAGCTATGGAGAAGCACCAACAACTGGAGACTGCAAATCAGGAGGCAGCAATGAAGCTGGAGAAACTGAAGTGAGTATGAGTAAGCAAACACTGGGAGGTGTACCACTTGGCTTGCATGATCAGGCTGGATCAAGGGACCAAGGCCAGTTGTGTGAGGTTCAACTAGTCTAAGCATGGAGTCCTGTTCTTGGTTCATAATAACTCAATGCAGCACTCCAGGCTGGATGCAGAGAGGCTGGAAAGCTGCCCAGCAGGAAAGGACCTGGGGGTTGACAGTGGATGAACAAGATCCAGCAGTAAGCCCAGGTGACCAAGAAAGGCCAGTGGCCTTTTGGCTTCTATCAGCAACAGTGTGGCCAGCAGAACAAGGGAAATGAGTTAGGCAAGAAGAGTTGCTGGCAGAGAATGAAAGTGTGACTTTAGGAATATACAGCTGCTTTAAGAGAATCCTATATGTTGCATGTTGGGGACTAGGGTGAAACTTTTTGCTGTTAGTTTTTAGTAATGTGTCTGCTGTCTCTTCAATAGCTGTGGGAAGCCCATCTTTAACTTAATAGATGGGTAAAGTTGTCTTCCTTAGTTATTTGACATGTTTGCCACATTCTCTGTTTCAGGCCATTTAGTCCTACGCCTTTGTCTTTGCACCATTAAGTTTTATTTTAGCTTGTGGGCAATAGGATGAAGAGATGGCTGGTTTCCAAGATAGCTTGCAAAACAAAGAGGTGTTTTTTTTTTCTGATAGCTGCTCTTGCTGTGTGCTAGACAGGAGATTCTCTAGCTAGTAGAGGTCTGCCCTAATAGAAGCTGTTTCTCTGACAGGTAATACGATGCAAATTTCATAAATGAAAATCGCCACAAAAATTGATGGGGGTGTTGTCTTTTTGTGCTTTGCTTAACATGCTCTTTAAACTCAATCCTCTGTTATGCCAAAATAGCTCTTTAGATTATGCTTCAACTGCAAAATCTTGCAAGCAAAAGAAAACAAGACGTATTAATTTGAGACTGCCTTGCCCCGATTACTCACGTTACTGGCTGTAAACTCTTTAGAGGCAGTGATTGTTTTATCTGCTATTCTCTGACTTGACTCTAATGATACTGAAACTGTCCAATGTCTTTATTTTTCACTTAGCACTGTTCCAGTTGAACATCAAGCAGAGGTCAAGCAGCTGACAGAGAGCATTCGGGATCTGGAGCAGGTGCTGAGGCAGGACTACCGTCGCAAACAGGTAGGATCTTGTTGTGTGTCTGGCATGCTGCTGTGGCTTCTGATTGTGTAGTGTTGATTTTGTTCCCTTCCCTCTAATACAGAGGATAAAGGGCATGTTTCTGATTTAAAACAAAGGCCATTGCAACAGGATGCTGTGTCTGACCCTTCATTTCACTGTGAGGAATGTGAAACACACTTTGAAATCAGACTTGGGCAGTGCAAAAGTATATTTCACCCTTTCTTTTTGAAATGCATTACTGCAATGACTTGGGAGATAACCTGTGTTATTGCTTAGAAGTGTGATATGTATGTTTCCCTTTGTTTGCCACCTGAATTCAAAGGATTGGAACTAGAAGTGAGCCATGGCAAGAAATGAGGCCTAAGAAGGGTCACCCAAGGGAATGCCTGGCAAAAAGAATAGGGTTAACTGTAGGGATAACTTTTCAACCATGGCAACTTGCCTCTAAGGTCCCAAAGGTGACTTTTTCAGCTCCTTTGGGGTGAAAAATAATCTGTGGTTAGGGGTTTTTTGTTATGTCAATTCATGTCTCTACTACTACTGTTATTAACCATGTGGTTGACTTCTGTATTTGGGACCTTCTATTAATAGATATTTTTTTTCCTCCAGAACAGGGCCTCTGGCAAAGAAGGTTGTGTGCACAATGGTTCAGGGGTAGTGAGAATAGAGGTAGTCAGTCTCTTATCCCTGTTCCTAGTTACCTGCTGCTGACTGCATCCCTAGTGCTCCCAGTGGCCTTTGTGACAATGTTCTCCTTCCCTGCCTTTGAAATCTTATAGATTCCAATTTTGTCTGCTGGTTATGGCACTCCAGAGGACCCATATATGGGATTTTCTCTTGTAGACAGATCTGTGGGAAAGGGTAGAGCAGGTAGCAGTTGTAGAGGTGCTTATTTAAAACTTGTTGCTTTTTTTTCAGAAAGGTTTTCAAGAAGTGATTTCACAGAAGAAGGTTGACATTGCAGACCGTACCCGAAAACTGGTGAGTACACATCTGTGTGGGTGCAGCTTCCATCTCACACCAGCTAATAGAACATCTCTCTAGGATCAAATTATTCTTGGGACTAGGTAGCTTTCAAGTGTGATTATAAATTTTCTTTCTAAGAATGGTTTGGCTTCATTTTTCCCCCCTCCATGGAAGCTTTACTGCAGTAGCTTGTTTTGTTGTTCACCTTAAATGCACATCTCTGCAATGCTAAGCTCTGTGTGTTCAGCAAGCTGATGTGTTAAAGGGCAAAAAAATCTAGATTTGTGAGATGCTGTGGTCTTAAGGGTCTAATGAGGCAGTACTGACCTGGTGGGGAACAAAACAGGAGGTTTTGAGAGGTTGCACAGGAAACCTGTTGCCCTTCTATCAGGCTAGTACAGCTGATTCTGAAACCCTGCAGTGATTGCCTCTGTTTCCTTAGGTGAGCGTTTCTGAGGGATAGAGCTGCTAGTAATATACCAGGCTAGATAGAGCTCTGAGCACCCTGGGCTAGTGGAAGGTGTCGCTGCCCATGGTAGGGGGTTGGAATGAGATGGTCTTTAAGGTCCCTTCCAACCCAAACCATTCTAGATTTAGCTGGCAAAGTCTGTGGACTACTAGGTAACTGCTGTTCTTGTGGCTTAGTGTTGCACCTCTGTATGCAAGTTCAGGGAGCAAAGTGGACTGTTAACTGCTTTGATGTGGAATGTTAATTTAGTTTGAAAGCACTTCCTAATGAAGAATGACTAAAACTGGAGAAAAAAAGCCCTGTCTAGTAATAAGATCCTGACAAACTGTACACAGTTCCTCTTTGTTCACCTAATCACTAATACTGCATGTGTGTTTGTCTTGTTAACTAGGGTGAGCTCAAAGTGATTCTGGCTACTTTGAAAGAAGAACAAGAGCAACTGAAATCAAAAATTGTGGAGAGTCCAGAGGAGCTGAAAAATTACAAAGAACTGATGAAAGAGACTGTTAGGAAGCTGAAGAAATCCAAGGTGAGGTTTTCCTCTGTCCACATGAGGAGGTATTCTGCTAGAGAAAGTTCAGTAAAACACGTGCTATAGAACTGCTTCTTGAATGACTTATACTTGTAAAAAAAAAAATTAACAGAGCAGTGCTTAGTCTGAAATGAAATCACAGCTATAGGGAAAACTGTAGGTTTGTTGTGCAGGTGGGTTTTTTGGCTCTTCAGTTTGTGTTGGTTGTTTTCTGTTTAAAAGCAGGATTGCAGTCACTGCTGCTTTGTCCTCAGTGAGTAATTGTTTATTTGTGAAGCTAGGTGTGGAACTCTTGGATCTATACCTGTCTGGCTGTTTGCTGTCAAGAGATGACAATATTTTGGCAGCTCCCAAATGTCTTTGGATTTAGAACACATGCTTCAGAGTGATTCTGCTATCATTCACTATTCCTGGAACTGATGTCTGTCTCCACTAGTATGCTGAACACTGAGTTCCCTTAGCTTTTTGGCTGGGTTTTTTTTATTATAATGTCCAGTCTTTAAATTTTTGTGGTTTGTGATTGCTCATAACATCAATGAAGTCTGCATAGCTTTGCCTCTGTAGGTATTTTTGTTGCAAAGGTGTAAACTTTATTGCTGTAATTCCAGGACTCTGCTTTTATCATGCTTTATGCTCTTGTTTTGCCAGTATAGAATTTCTTCACTGTACAGCTTTTTTTCCTCTTTTGTAGCAAGCTAGTTCAGTATAAAACCACCTGCATGTCACTTTTTTTTCTGTGCTTCCAAATAAATCCCTTTGCTTACAAACTGAAGATCTCTTCAGTAACTGTTAAACAGTGAGACAATGGGTACAAGAGTCAATATGCTTTTAATTTTACCAAGCCTTTTCTCTTTAAAGCAAGAAATTATTGAGAAATATGAAGCCTATAGAGACTTAGTTGAGGTTCTGCCATCATGCCAACTGGAGGTGCAGTTATACCAAAAGAAGATGGAAAGACACAGAGCAAATGTGGAGAGACTGGCCAGTGTGTTAACAGAGGTTTGTATTATCCAAACTATATCCAGTTAGGGAGAATTTAATGTTTAAGCAAGATAGGTGAACATCAATAAATGTCTGTGTTTTGAAAGCCCCCATCTCTCCTCTTCCCTGTAAAGAAATAATTTGGATAGCTTCAAAATGCCACTCTTACAAACATCAGTAAAACATAGCTGCTGCTTTGTTGCATGGCACTAGCTAATGTGCTATGCACTAGCTATTGACCACTTTGAATAGTCAAAGCCTTTGTTGCCATAGAAACCTGACCTAAAATAGTTTGAGCTGTCTTGGGGTTGTTGGTAGGAAATGATGGAAGAAGAAAAGTGAAAATCCAGTTTCTCCTGCCTAGAGAGCATAAACTGAGCAAAAAATTGCTACTTGAGGAAGAGTTATGTCTTAAGCACCTTTAACGTCATTAATATTGCTAAGCCAGACATTCTCTGATGCAATGTTTGTCCCAATACAGTACCTTGCCATTTGCTACTCAGAGTTGGGAGAATGCAGTTGTTAGGAGCATTTGAAAAATGCTATGGAGTCTCTGGGTATTTATATAGCATATGCTCAAATTACCCTTGGCAAAGAGCTGTAGCAGAGCTCCTAGTGACTTCTGAAAGCCATTCTAAGTGATGAGGTCTTGTCTATTTGGGTATATTTATAATGGGCTAAAGACTAGAGAACTGGGATTTCACTGGGAGAATTACTTCCCAATCAGATCTTCAAGTGCAGGAAGCTAGTTCTAATCTTGGTAAATGAACAGTGTACACTGTTGTGTTTATTTATTTCCTCCCATTTCTCTACTTATGTACTCTAGGCTAGAAATCTGGAGGACCAGATTGAGTGTGTTCAGATTGAGCTGAAAAAGGGGAAGACAGATGAAATGTCCCTCAAGAGACTGGTCACTGCAAAACATGAGAAACTGTCTACAGCTGAAATCAGGATAAAGAAGAAGCGTGAAGATTTTGAGCAATACAAACACACTGTGCTCGAGTACGGATGAGTTGATGTTTCTGCCTGATGCTGCTTTATGTCTTTGTTATGTGCTGCCAAAGTTCGTGTCTGGTACAAACAGCTTAGCAGGAGGAAGAAAATGAGCAGTGTGGGACAGCTTTGTATGAAGACCAGTAGTGCTGCAGGCAGGGACTTGGGGTCTCAAATCAATAATTGCAATGTGACTTGACAGCAATTCTTTTATTGGAGCACTAATTTAATTTATAATGCTTATTCTTGATTCTTTTATCTTCTTAAAGAGAATGTCACATTGGGATAATTTTCCAACTTATCAGACTTCAACAAAGCCCCATTTGCCTTTCATGAATTTTTCATAATTTCCCTTGCCACTTTTGCTCATTATCAAAGATGTTCAAGACCCATGGGGAAATGGGGCTTGCATCTCAGAGGAGTATTATCCTGACATGATGCTTCTATAACAAAAGGAAAAGTGTCATTTGATCAAAGCCTCTCAGCCCTTCTCCCTTCCTACCATATGCTAGAGGCAGGTTGCAGGGCCGTGTTTGCAGCACAGCAGTCACTCCTGCAGCAGCAAACTGCAGCCTTGTAAAGTTGAGGCTTCACTGTGAGATTAGAAGTGCTGACTTAATGTAGGAAAAGTTTATTATATAACATTTTCTTTTGCACACAGATAGGGAAGCGAAAGTGGAAAATCATTGGCTAAGTAGATGAACTGTGATGGAAGAGAGCTCCTTCCACATAGCTGAGAGGGTTGAGTAAGAGTTAGTCATGCTTAAGGTTTGTAGAATGGCAGCAAGATTCCCAGGCTGCCTTTGCTCCTCACTTAGTGGATCATACCAGCTGAAGCAGGTTTATTTGAAAAGTAGCTTTTAATTAAAGAAAGAAAATATTGTAATCTAACACTCCTATAAGTCAAGTTGCTGCTGATTTCTGTTTTTAATGTGTTAGGTATTTCCCTTGAGTGATAAAATTAGATGTTTTGATAAGCAAGAGGGGAAGAGAGGTAACTTTGGGTTGAAGAGAAGTGTTTTTGCTGGTGACTAAGGAAGTGTCCTGACTGTTCCCTTAAGGTAGGAAGGTCTAAGTAGGCACTTGCTAAGTATGAGTTATTTCAGCCATTCTTTAGAGAGCTGCTGCTACAGTCCCAGCTGTAATTATTCTACAAATGCTTAGTATAAACTGGTAGGTGCTTTTTGCACTGGAAGTTAGAGTAGCTCTCCAGTTCCCACACAAACCCTTTGCTGATTACATGGCAGTCACAGCTGCAAGTTGGGGAAACACTACTTGGTCTTTGTTTGGGATGCAGTGAAATGATGGAAGTTGCAGATAAGACATAGATGTATGAGATTAGAGCTTTACCTTGATGGGAAGGAATCTAGGGCTTTCAGTTATGCTAAAGCATCAAGTGCAACTGGATTGCTTTCAGCCTGTCCCTGTGGATGGTTTTTAGGCATTCAGGTCTCCACTGACACCTGCACTGCATCACTCAAAGGCAGGAAGATGCAGTATCCAGCTGTTGTGTTGGCTCCAATGGAGTCACTGGAGTTGCCCTGATTGGCAGCACAGAAGTTCTTCAACATGCTCCTCTAACTCCACTTCGAATTTCACTTCTTGCACCTAAATTGTGAAAGTGTAAAAATTGAATTGATTTCCAAGCAAATAAATTCTATACATCATTGCTTCTGGAAGCTGCAGGTTTCATCCTCATAAAATCCAAGCTTTGCTCATGGTGGGGATAAGTTTAATTTGGAATGAGTCAAATGTCTCAATACTAACTTTTTTCCTCTCACCTCTAGACACTGTAACAAAGTTCAGGAGAAGAGAGGAGCTGTGTACGATAAAGTGACAGCCATTCACAAGGAAATCCAACAGACAAAGTTCAAAATTCAGCAGATGAAGGAGAATGCTGAAAAAGAAACAATGAAAGCCAAGGTGAGGGGTTTTTTTTTGGTTAAAAATCAAACCTGATTTTTCACTTGAGCTGTGTAGGTAAAGGAACAGTTGCTGGCCCTAAAACCAAGTTGGCTGTGCAGGTGGTGGTTTGGGTGGATAGTGGGAGGGAGAGCACTGACTCTGGTTCCACAGAGTTGCTGTTGCTTGCTCCCAGCTCTGCAGGCTGTGCAGGTGGCTCATAGGAGAAATGGGCTTTGCAGGCCTGAGAGAAAAGACTCTAGAATGGTGTGACAGCCCAGTATTTTGGGAAGTGAAATTTAAACTTCCCACCTCCACCTGTAGTAGATACCATGCTAATTCCATGCTCTCTGGTTTTATGTTGTGATACTTCCCAGCTCTAACCAGTTGGATTTCTTCTTTTTATAATTTTTGTTTGGCCCCTGGGACCTGACCTGGGAGACTTTCTGTTCCTGTGGTAGCGTGGGCAGTGCAGTGATCCTCTCAACAGCCTCCCTCAAGCACAGGACCACTTGCCATATCACAAATACTTTCTTCCTAGGGTTTTATTAAGATGACTATGCAGACAAGAGGCAGGAATCCTGATAGGCTGAGAGTAGGGGATCACAGTTTGCCTGTAGCATCTCATCCTGTCCGTTGATTACTGCAGTACTGCCCATGCTGGGAGAGGGCAATGGTAGCAGTCACAGGGGCAGAGACCTTGGTGACACAGGTTAACACAGCATGGGGCAGGACTGCTGTGAATACTGGGCTAGTGCTGGTTGTTTGAGCATCTTAGTATTGTGACCACTAGAGTTAGTACAGAATCACAGTGCTGGGATTTTCCTTGTGGCTGCTGTAATGTTTCTGCTGTTTTGTAATTCCCCTGTGTTCTGTAAATGCTGCTGCTTAAGCCAGGCTAATGTTTCTGCTGTTTTGTAACTCCCCTGTATTCTGTAAATGCTGCTGCTTAAGCCAGGGGTGAGGTACCTTTGAAGTCACTCCAATCCACCAGACAACTCTCATATAAATCCTTATTAGACATAAATGTTAACTTTGCTGATGGCTCTTTTTTCTCCTCCTATATCTTTCTAGGAAATAGAACTAAGTTTGAAGGCTGCGCTGGAGAAGCGTCATGAATCTCTCATCAAGATAGCAAAGAGTTTCGCAGCCACAAGAGAAGAGAGAATTGCTGAACTAAAGAAAGGGCTGTTTAGCATTCAGCCTCCTGGAAGTAGTTCTTAAGCCTGTCTGCACTTGTGTTCCACTTTCATTATGTTTATCCTCATACCTGAACTCAAGAGCTTGTGCTTTGCATGGAATTGGGTAATGATTGCAGGCAGAAGTCAGCTTTCTCAAAAGCCATGTCAGAACACGTTTAGCTTTCTAGGCAGATCCTGATGTCATGAGCTTGCTAACAGGGAGTAGAAAACACTCAGTTTAGCTTGTTTCTGTTGTTTCAGTCAGTACCTGGTTTTACTGGTAATAATGCAACCCTTGCTAACACTGAATTGCTTGGCATTCAGACAGCATCCTGCTTTTTTTTTATCCTGCTCTTCTTGTAGAATCTGCTCTGCAAACTTTGATCTGGGAACACCTGGTGCTTTGGTCTGGCCTGAAGGTACAGGTTGAGATAAGTCAGTAATAGGTGATACTCCACTACCATCATTTCATTAGGATGGAATCCTGATGGAGCAGGAGCATCTATGTAAATGCCAAGTTACTCTCATCACAAATATTGGCAACAGTAAACCCTCAAGAGTATCATTTTGGTTAACAGTACAGTCCCTCTCCATGCTTGAACTCATTGTTTCTGCTCTGTGGGGTACTGAACCCTCACCTCTGTTTATTAGAAAATCTGTCTTAGGGTGCTTAGTCCTATGAAAAGATTATAGGTTGATATTTTGTACCTGAACTTGTCATGGCACTCAGTGTGCCACAGTGGTTTTAATTATTTGGAAAAAAATGTTGACAATAAAGATATTTAACCCTTTTAATCTCAAGTCTTTTCCCTCTCTGTTCCCCTAACTGACTTGGAATAACATTGCAGTTCAAACATTTTGCTTTATACATTTGTAGCAATGTGTGCTACTAGAAGGTTTTTGTTATAATAAGGGAGGAAGGATTCAAGCCCGTACAAACTATATATTTCTGGTTTTGTTTAATTCTTAAATGTCTCTTATTAGCTAAAGGTGCTGATTTCCAGGGACAGGTTTATGTCTTTCCAATAGGTTCTTGTGCCTTCAGAATGGTCTATTTGTACCTGAAATATCCACAGACATAAAACATAGCCAAAGTATATTTTATCTAGAGATAATTGATTCCTAGGTGTGAGTCTACTGCTGCTTTTCAAAAACTTCTACCCACCTTGAACCATATGGCAAGGCAGTGGGGGGAGTTGTGTGGCCTGAAAAATAGTGGAGGGAGGAGGCTTCTGCTAAGGCAGAACAGCTTCGTTTCCCTCAAGAGGGCAGTGTTAGTCAAAATTTTCATGTTTGGGTTTTTTCTTGTTAGTCCTTCTGTCTAAACTACTGTTTAAATGTGTAGTTTAATTTTATTTTTTGCATGCACTTCAGTATTTCATGTACAGCATAAATCTTGTAGCAGATTTGCATTGTACTGCTCGGGCTGATGACACCTGTTTGAAATGTGTTGATTTGCTAACAGTATTCTGTAAGCAGTTTTTTTTTTTTTTTTTTTAAAAGAAGTTAAACCATTGGTGTCCCGTCAAGGAGGAAAAAGTGGTAGTGGCTAAGATGGGAAGTGGGTGGGCAGCTAGGGTTATGGCTTGGTACAGCATCTGAACACAAACAAAACTTGTGATACCTGTGATCCCTTGGTTGTGTGATCCCTTTTCCCCCAGTTTGCTGCTGCTTTCCCTGGGGAGGAAGGAGGTTTCTTTATCACTCCTCTGTTTTGCCTTAGCTCCCAAGCATGGCTGGAAAGATCTTCAGAGCTCTGTCTCTGAACCCTGATTTCTGCTAGGCTTTAGGCAAGGTGAGTAGGGCTATGAGTTTTTTCACCAGGGAGACCCTCCTGCTGTGGCAGTGGAACGAGCTGGAAGAGGAGCTGGTGTGCTGGCCACTTGGTGGGGATGTTGGCATGGAGAGTGGCCATGGATTCGCATTCTATTTCTGCCACAGCTCTGCTGAGGAAGCCAAAGAAAACTTGCTGAATCTGCAGCTTCAGAACAACAGCTCTGCAGCTTGACAGACATATATTCTAGGACTGGCCAGGGCCAGGTAAACTAGAAGTTAAAGCTTAGTGACAGACATTTCCATCTAAGGATGTGACCCTTTATGCTGCTGAAGTAGGAGCTAGTCTGGAGAAAGGAGATGGAGCCTGAACTTGGCAACCACCTCCCTGTAGTTTGTGCAGGGCAGTAGAGGCAAGTGTGAAAGGCTCACACACGCAGAGCTGTGTATTGATATTGAGGTGTGTGTGAATCATGAGCTTGAGGGGCAGAACAAAGGAATCTGACATGTAAGTGCTCCTGTGCGTGAAAGTCTTTGGTATCTGGAGGGACATTTTCCTTTTGGAAAGGTTCTCTCCATCAGACTTGTTAAGGGCAATTCTTATTATTATCATAGAGTAAAATAAATGCTAGAGATTAGCTGGGAATAAAAGCAAGGAAAACTTTGAGCTGAGTATCCAAGAATTTTGCCTGCAAAATTCCTCATTTTCCAAAGTTAACAAGGGAAGACTTGAGACCTACATGGGGGCAACTAAGTGACATGATGAAATCAATAGCATTTCGCACTGAGTTGGTCTTCTGTGCCTTTCAAGGGACCCTCTTAATCTGTGGTATTTCTAGTGCTTACATTTCCATAAAAATGCTGGCAGAATCCAGATTATGGAGGACTTTCTTGATGTCAGTGGATGCAAGAAAGCAAATGGTGGGTGTGTGTCAGCACTGCTGCAGTACACTTCTCCTTCTTCAATCTCAAAAGGTTTGGGTGCTCTCTTGCTGTTCTATGGTCTCCTGCCCCATAAGTAGAGTGACTTAAGAGTAGCAAAACTCAGCAGCAGCTCTTAAAAACTGCATTGGTGTCATGCAAGGGAGAGACCAAGTTTTATTCTCTGGGTGTCCATGACTGGTGCAGGTTACCCAAAAAAGCTGTGGCTGCCCATCCCTGGGAGCATTCAAGGCCAGGTTGGATGGAGCTTTAAGCAACCTTGTCTGGTAGGTGTCCCTGCCCATTGCAGGGGGTTGAAGCTAGATGATCTTTAAGGTCCCTTCCAACCCAGGCCATTCTTTGATTTCTGTGACTTGATGGAGACTGGGTCAGGTTTGTTTCTCTCATTCTTTATCCCCTTGTATCACTCTTGTATTTGTAGTCCCAAAAGGCTCTCGCAATGCCGTGTAACAGTCCCTGATGGTCTTTGCCCTACTGTGATGTTTTTTGTTTGGTCTCACTTGCCACATGGAAATGAGCAGAGCTGTTGCTATTTGGGAGTCAACAACTGCAATGCCTGGAATGAGACAGGTCCTTACATGTGCTAAACCACAATCACTAGAGGTGCACGTTGTTGGCTCAGGGAGAAGGGAGGTTGTAGATGTGATTTTTTTTTTTTTTCCACTGAATAAAGCCTCAGTTTTATTACCATGAGGCTTTTGTCCAATTTTCCACAAGAAGAAAGAGCAAGATGTTTAGGAGCTGAGTTTCCTAATGGGTAGCACAACATACAGTGCTTACTGCAACTGAAGAGGTTGGAACAGTGATATTGTGAGAGGCAATGCACTGAAAAATGTACTTGCCAAGAGAAATGGGCATTGGGGGGGGAGAGAAATAAAAATCACTGTTTTTGCAAGCTGCAAGCCCAACTGGAGAGGGCTGGGAAAGGCCAGTGTTTGTAGAAAATGAACAAACAAAAGGAGGGAAAACCCAGGTTATGTTGAGGTTTCCATAGCAACACAATAGTTTTCCTGGAAAACTCAAATGATGAGATCTAATCTATCTGTTATTTAACTCTTGCATGCAGAGCCCACTCCTTTCTCAACATACCTGTCATCCTTCACAGCATCCTCTACAGTGATGGTTGGACTGTCACAATGCCATGGTGGTCTCCATGGGACAAGGTTGTTCCAGTGTTGTTCCCCCAGTTCCAAAGGACACAGAAAAGGAAAACCTTAGGAGGCAGATTGTGTATGATGAACTGTGTGGAAGAGTGACTTACCAGATGTGCTGACCCTGGGGAGCTTCTGTTCCCTGTAGATCCCAGAGAGGATGGGCTAAGCTGGACTGAGAGCAGCGCTGCCAGGCAGGTATGTTGCTGACATGTTCCATAGCCTGCAGGGTTTGCTGCATAAGGATGTGTTCTCCATGGGAATAACACAGCTGAGTACCTGTCTGAAATCTGTGGAAAACTTTCTGTGACTATTTGGAGACTCCATCATGGGAGTTCGGATAGACAGAAAGGTGAACATGAGCCAGCAGTGTGCTCAGGGGGCCAAGAAGGCCAATGGCATCCTGGCCTGGAGCAGGAACAGTGTGGTCAGCAGGACCAGGGAGGTGATTCTGCCCCTGGACTCGGTGCTGGTGAGGCCACACCTTGAATCCTG